CAACTTGGGACATGCTGAAAGTCATGTGCTGTAGCTTTTTAAAGGTTTTGTTCAGTAATGTGGTTCAATCGGTCACAGATTTTTTTTCATTGTGATCAAATGTTTGTAAGGAAAGCGGGACCTCAGTGGAAATCTGTTCACCATTAGCCATGTGCTTTAATGGCAGTCGCGTGAAGGCTTCTTGGATGATGTCACCAAGCAGTCAAACAGTCATTAATTTTCTTTTATTGCTTACTGAAGAGGAGCAACCACTAACCTCATCAGAGACATTACAGGATGTGTCACCGCAAGCCCAGCCCACTGTACTGCAGTTTGGACTTTAGGACGCTGTTGTTTGCTTTGGATGTCAGTTGATACAATAAATGTTGACATATTTGTAACAGAACTGGTGAGTCATAGATATTAGTGTGGGACCAACCAACCAAGAAATTTCAGACCTTATATTGATCAGATCAACAAGGCATTTTGTAACTATTTTACATTTTGGCAAATTGGATCATGAGAATACGTACATTTTTGTATAATCTGCTTATGCCCCACTGAGAGTTAGGGTTAGGGCTAGACCTTATTTTTTACTAAAAGATGTATATTTTGTACAAATGATATTGTATTCATTTATATGAAATCAACAACTTGTAAAATAGTTTTGTTTTCTCATGAGATCGGATTGCTATTTTTTTTTTTAAAAGAGCCTCTTGCATGTCTTTATTGGCATGTTACAGCGGAATGCAGCACACTGTAAAATTACAGAAAATAAATATTTAGCATTTGGTAGAACGTTAGAATTGGAATATATTGGCTGAAAACAGTACTTTTGTTACTCACAATAATCATCCAATGGAAACTAGTCAACAGTATGAGGGTTCAGATTCAATCAAAAACATGATAAATTTAATAGCTCCAAAAATCTTTCAATGACAGATCATTGCAATGATTTATTTCCCTTCTTTATTGTTTTATTGTGATATCACAAATCAGTGATAATTAAGCATTGTGAGAGAAGGTGATTGTCGGTGTCATAGTCAAACTGTTATTGCTGTTAATACTGTTGTCATGATGAATGACTTTCATTAATGTTGTTTGTGACAGACTAGTTTTGGTGAGCAACACACAGAGCATAAATTGGGATTTTATTAAGCAAATTTATTAACCATACTTCTTTTGCTATAAGATGTAGTAATAATTGTTCTTTCTTATATATGTGGTGTGCAGGGACCAGTGTCATTTTAATATCATTGATTTACTGTACAATTATTTTAATTAGATTTTATTAGTTTTTTTTTTCATTTTCATTTATAAGCTTTAGTTATTTTTTTTTTATTTTTTTTAGTGAGTTATTTTTTGTTTTTACGATTATTCTTTAAGTGTCTATATAGTTTTAATTTAGTTTTAGCACTTTTATTATTATTATTATTATTATTATTATTATTATTACTTCAACTTGAACTTAATGAACATTTGAAATGTTGGGTTAGGTTACTGGCCCAAATAAAATTAGTGCAATTTTTTTTTTTTTTTGATTTTTTAAAATTTTATTTCAGTTAATGTTTATTTTATTTCAAGTAATTAAAATGTGTTTTTAGTTTTAGTTAACTTACACTGTAAAGAAGGTAAGCAGATATGTAGTGTTAAATTGTGTTTTTTTTAGCAGGACTAGAACACTACATTGATCAATCAGCATCCATAATTATAGCTGTGTGTTATAATATATTATTTCTGTACAATTCTCATAGCGTACTATGTGGATATGTTCTTGGTGGCATTTACTGTAAATCTCACAAATATTATCATTTTCATCTTTATTCACAAACCATTTGAATACAGATTCATGCAGTTGCTTTGTCCATATGTAAAATGAGTAAAGTCATCCTTTAGTGTAACTGGTGTTGACAGTCCACCGGCATTTCATCATCTTCCTAGTCTCTCATTTTCACAAATAACCGGTTTGAAATGTGTCTTGTCACTGTCAAACTTGATTCCTTCTCGCCACTTTCTATTTTAAGCTGCTAGTCCATTTCTCACTGTTATATGATGTAATGTCTCGTGTTTCTGAGATCAGAGCAGCCTGGTCGGTGTGTGTGAGAGTTCATTTGCGGGAGGGAAGCACAGAGGAGGTGTGCGATGGGTCGACTGCTCAGACTATAATCGTTAACACCAGCAATGGGAAAACACATGTTCCTGCCTATTAAAGGTCCTGACCTGATTTCTCTAACACTTTCACTTTGTGCCAAATGTACTCCTTGCCCTGCTCCACACTCCACTACATTAGCTTAATTCTTGAGCCCGTTTGAATGGTTCTGAATGAGTCTGTGTTAGTGCCAGGTGATGTTTGCTGGGTGGAGATGAATGTGGCTGTGGTCCACTGTTGCTACAGACATGACAGAAATCCAAAAGAGGCCAGGAAAGCATAAAGGGGATGACTGCTAGAATCGTTCTTATCCTCTGTACTGAAGAATTCTATATTCTTCTCTCTTTTTTGTGCTCCCTCTTTTCCCCTCATCCCAGTGTTTTTGTGCTGGTTAAAGAGTTCAAGAGAGTCTCTATATAGTGCTGATGCAGCCGGACAGAAGCTTTTCTTTAATTCCCACTTGAGGGGGAAGGCCAGGCCAGATGCATTTTGGGAAAGCAAGGGTACATCTTTAACCCCCTCTTTCTTGATTAATTTTGTGCTTGCTTTCTTCTCTTTGCTCTTGTTACTTCCTTCTTTTCTTCTCAGAAAACTGTAGCAAATTTGCTCGCCATGTCATCTCATTGCTTTCTAGTACAAACATTAAAGGGGTCATAGGATGCTACATGCACTTTTACAAGTTGTTTGAAGTGAAATGTGTGTTGGCAGTGTGTGTACACAACCACCCTATAATGATAAAAATCCACCCAGTGTTTTTTTTAAATGTTAAATAGGGCTGAACGATTTTGGAAAATCTAATTGCGATTTTTTTTACCAATATTGCGATTGCGATTTAATATGCAATTTGAAGACGCAGTGGATTACGTTTGTTTCTGAAGGGAATGCTACCCCAATCTACCTAAATGCGTCTTATGTTCGCGCGAATCATTCATGATCCAGCCTCATCTACAGAAGAAGTGAGTATAATGTTTTGTAAAGAATCTTTGCAAATCGCCTTTCTTAATAATGTGCTAATTAGCAAGTTTCACGATGAATGCGGCCGAAGTAAACAGTCTCTCTGAGAGAAACTCAGAAGAGAGGGGGGGGGCGAAAAGAGCTCATTAACATTTAAAGGAAAATGCTACAAAAACGACTTGATCTGAAAAGAGCTGTTTTTGACAGGGTAAAAAAGGTGTTTTTTACACTACCATTGAGAAATTTTAACCAAACTATGTTACAGACTTTTCATTAAGACCCTAAAGAATCATATCAACTTGTAGAAAATGGGCATCCTATGACCCCGTTAAAGAGACATTAAAGAGAATGATTTGACTATGACTTGTATTTATTTGTTAGGAACTGTACAAAAAATGATGATGCATTGTACATAGAGATTATAGCACCGGCTAATTTGCATTATTACTAGTAAATTAATTTGCCATTAATTCAGACTTGAGTGTCACATGATCCTGCAGAAATAATTCTGTTATTCTTACCCCAAACTTAGACTAGTGTATCACAGCGTCCACAAAAATATGAGGCAGCACTACTATTGATTAAAAAATGCTTCTTAAGAAGCAAATCAGCATATTAGAATGATTTCTGAAGTATCATGTGACACTGAAGACTGGAGAAATTATGCTGAAAAATTTAGTTTTGCATCACAATAATAAATCAATCACATTTTAATATTAATATATTAAAATAGAAAACAGTTCTTCTAAATTGTTATGTTTTTTTTGTTTTGTTTTTCAAATAAGTGCAGCCTTGGTGAGCACTTTTTTTGAAAGCATAAAAAAAAAAAACTGAATTATTCCAAGCTTTTTGACCAGTAGTGTATGTATATATAAAGCATAATTAAAATTAAAAGTGTGGGTCTAATTGCTGAATTACTAAAAATTTGTACAATTCTGGTTTCTTTTAAACCAGCCCGTCACCATTACTATAAAAGAATGTAAATCTTGGATTAATTTTATTTAATTTGGTAACACATTGAGTGTGTTGCAGTGAATGGAGTTACATTGAAATAACACATGAATTGTTGTGTGATCTGCACATTTTAAGCTGATATTTGGCAACTGCTTTGCTTGCAAGACATGTTTAGTTGGGTTAAGCGAATGTGAGCTGGACATTTGCCTAGCAGATGTATTAGTCGTATTAAATGCTTTTAGTCCCTCGAGAGCAGGGCTCAGAGTGCTAAGTGCATCTGGACTATGGGAACACATCTTGATAGATCAATTCAAGGTCAGAGAGTGGCTTCCTTCGGTTCTTGTATTCACAAACATTGTACACCAGTCATCATGGCCGCCGGATGTAAGACAGACTATGTTTGCAAGTCTGAACCATTTATAGGTAGTGGAGTACAACTGTTTTTCTGCCCGTGGTGAGAAATGTTTATAACCCGGCTAATTGTCTCTTCTCGGTTAAAAGGCTTCTCCCGGCACACGTGTAAGTGAGCGTAAGCTGACAGTGAGCTGGGTAAGATTGATCATTACCAAGCAGCTTTCTGGCGTCTGAGCGAATGCTGAGCCTTGAGGATTGATCTGCTTTCCCGTGGCAGAGCCATCGGTCTTCTTAACAGCCTTGATTATTAAGGAGGTGGGCTAAGCTGTGTGGATATTACAGGGGGCGGGGCTCTGCTTAGCAAAATGAGTGCCATCTATCACCGCGCTGCTGGGACAGAGAGCTCCTATGTTCTCTGAAGAGGACAGAGAGGAAAGAGATGGACGCCAACCTTTAACAGCTTCCTCTGACACAATGACCACGATTCTGTCCTGATCTGCAGAACCAATGAGTGATGATAGCAATGTAGTGCTTAATTAGTAGACGTGCGATTATATCAGATACTGATATCCATAAATCTGTCACCCATTTTTTTCTACAAATAAGCTTCTTTTCATATTATGTTGTTGATCTTATCTTAGCAGATGGTGTTACAAACATCATCTCAAGTTATCATTCACTGTGCTTAATTTTTCCATTTCAGTGCCGTTTTGAAGATGAATGTGGCAGTTGTTCTGATATCAGTTCTCACTGCAGCAGAATATTGCATGCAATGTCATTTAGTCTTGCACATTTAGTTTTTTCTTGGCATTTCAGGCATAAAGGCTTGAAAAATGGTTTGAGAATCTTATTATTATTTTTTTTTAAACTAAATCTATAATTTATCTATAAATCAAATCTAGGTGGGGTGTTTTAACAAAATCAGTGGACTAGTCAGTCTTAACCCTTTGACGCGTACGATCACACCGGTGTGATCAGTCTTGGCTGGTCTCTGAAGCATACGATCACACCGGTGTGATTAGAACTTTCAGTGCGTCACGTCATCAACTGCTGAATTTAAATCCGCTTTCGCGCTTTGGCTGGCGCAGAGCCATTTGATGGATTCTCATTCTGGCTTCACAATACATTACAACAACAGCGATGAGAAAAAAAAAAAAGTGGACAAACCATTCAATGCGAATGATGTATGCGCAAACCCGCGCCTCAGAGCGCGTGCAAATATTAAGCTCTCTCTGATGTATTGATGAAAAATTATGTCAAAATGCCCGTCTTGGTAAGTATCCTATAGCAGACATAGCCGGCTGAACGTACTGTATCAGTGCATTCTCTTAAAGTGACAACACTTTCTTAATATTAATCAAACCGCAACAACAAAGAAATCACTCACTGCTCTTGATTGAATAGCTTTTGTAACTTTTATAAAGATTAATATTTAATTTCTACAGTCAAATATGCAATGTTGTTTTACTTTTAATTATTTTATTCAATTTCTGTACCTAAAAACTAATGTTAGACCTACCTAAAAAAAATCACTGTTTATTTTATTTGTATCTTTACTCTATTGTATTTATTTGTGCTGTTGCCTGTAGTTAGATAGATTATTCTTATTTTCTTTATTTTTATTTGACAGTATAGTTTTTGCCTAAACATAGCACATACCGAACCATACTGAAAACGTGACTCTAAAACCGTGATACAAACCGAACCATGAGTAAGTTGAACCGTTCCACCCCTAGTAATTAATGACAGAATTTTCATTTTTTGGGTGAACTAACCCTTTAAGATATTGCCATCAATATTGGTCTACCAATACTTAAGATATTAATTGCAATTTATTGAATCCATTGACAAACTTTGATACTTATTATCAGCTAACCGACACATGTTGCATTATTTGTTGCATGTGCTGTCTTCCATCTTTGCCTTTCTTACCTATCTGCATTCTTCAACAAAGTGTTCAGTGACAAGCTTTGACCTGCTCTCCCCACCTTTTTTCCCTTCCTCCCTTGTTTTTGCCCGATGGAGAATCTTGTTTAGCAGCTCCTTGTTCTCCGTGGCTCTCTTTCCCGCCCTTTACCGAAACACAGCGAGTGAGGTCATGTGCTTCAGGTAATTAATGAACCCGAAGCTCGCAGCCAGCAGAGTGGAATGACTGATTTAAAGCACAAGGACATTTCTATCCAGCTGCTGTATTGTCATGGCCAGCCTCTTTCCTAATTGAACTATCATTTAACGACCGCTTTTAAAGAAAACGAGCTCTGCTTTTGAGCTGGCGAATTTGCATTTATGAAATACAGCTCAAAATCTCACCAGAGGTAATGAAATCCTTTATGTGGTGTAATTGTGTGGGAGGCATCTCATGAGTTATGTGCTCCGGTGTGATGGGTGTTAATATTAGAATTGTCGCCTCATTAAAGACATAAAACAGGTAAAAGAAGCTGTGGCTGCTCTGTCCTCTGTAGATCAATTTACGGTGTGTTTATCTGCATTTGAGTTTAGAGCCCATAATTCACAGGTCAAATTAGTCTTGTGTTGCCAGATGTTTGATTTAAACATAAGGTCTGGTCCACACTGCAGCTTACTCTGGCCAAGAAGCTCCCATTCAGTTAGAAGGAGACCATCTGAACCACAGTTTGTTTTGTTTTGATGTGCATTTTGATAGTGCTTGCCAGTTTTATGTGCAATACGCATCAGATGGTCAGTGGATATACAGTGGGCGGTATGTTGGTGTGCTGCCTGAGGCTTAGTCTAGGGTAATATTGCATTCATGAAGACCCAGTAAGTGTACCAGGAGAATAACATTTATAGACAAACACTAAAGGAGAGGTAAAGAACAGGGTTTAAATTGGGCCGGGGCCATCCGGGGCTGAGCCCCGGCACATAGACTCCAGGGCTCGACATTAACGCTTCATTAACGGCAGACAAGTAACGTGATTAAAACATCAGTAACCAAAAATAACTATGTAAACACCAAAACGCAAGTATTATTCTGATGTTATTACATTTAGAGTAAGTGGCGAATAGTGGATATAGCTACTGTATATAATGCATCTATTGACAGTATAAGGTTGCGCTGCTGAGGCGAGGCTCACGCAGCCTCTCCAGGAGAAATCAAAACGCGCAACACTAAGAAACTCAGCATCCTGAGGTAAAAATTCAAAATGGAAAGTTTTTATATTTAAAATACAGTTAGTTAGGCAACATCACACAATGTTTTCACCATTACGACTGTTTAATAGTTCTATAAACAGTTGTTCAAGCAAATACAATAATATTAGGTCACTTACATTTTAGGCGAAAACACAGTGCATCTCACAGCAACCAGCCGATTCATTGCTGATTGATTCAGTGTTTTGAACGAATCGGTTGAGTCAAAGTTTCATTAGCCCATGCATAGACATCTGATGAATCTGCCGTTTGAACAAATCATTTGAATGAACGACTCAATGACTCACTCATTAAACTCTCACTACTGGCACCTAACCCCTGGTAAAGAATACCACTAGAAGTGTAGTAAAGAATCGACTCACTACAGCATTCAGAAAGGAGAAAGCTACTGTATGCATATGGGATCTGCATCACTTGTGACACATACACTCTCAGGCTCACTAGGTCTGCCCTTCTCTTCTAATGGCTGTGCATTTGACTTAGTAGCCGTGCCTAAAGCCTCTCTCAGCAGGGGCACAGAGCTTTAAGTGCGCTTGCCTGAAACACCATCAATACTTAATCAGTCCATTACTATTCAGTGCATATTTAATCCTTCGGCAGCTCTCTCTCACATCTCAGGCTAGGCGTTTAAAATCGGCCATGCCAATAAACCCGCCTACTTATTCATTTATTGGTTTAACAACTGCCTACTATCATTTCTGTAATTTTGCTCGGAGGAACAAGAACGCTCCATGTATTTTGAAACCTTCCACTCAGCCTTTGTCAGTCTCAGTCATTTTTAATGGTTTTTCTGTCCGAAGGTTTGGCTGTTTATTATTGAATTTATAGATCAAATGTAAGAATTTGAAATGAAAATATGAATGAGATTAGTAGGAAAATGCCCTCTATAAAGGTAAAAAAAAATGCCCTGGATAAAATATAAAAAACACGCAGATTTATATGTCACAGCTGAT